CAGCTTTTCCTCGATAAGCTTGGGGAGTCATATTTGAGAGTAACGCCATCTATTTCACACACTGGCCTCATCTTTCAACAAGCTTCAATCTTGCTCCACTTCTGGTACTTAGTGGATTAAGTATGAAAAAATGCATCACGAAGAACACCAGCAAAACATGGCCAAAGAGCTATCAAGATTACTTATTATCAAACAACATTATTTTTGGTAAAAACCAAACTGTGTTGTTATGAGCATGCTCCAGCAGACCGGTGTTAGCTCAAAGTTGCGATTGTTCACGCATCATAGCAGTTTAAATGCTTGTTCTATGGGCCATGGCGTTGTATTAGTTTTCTTTTGCCGGTATTGAAATGCTTCTTCCAAACAATCACTTGGTTAAGCATGCCGAGGGCAAAACGGTCACGCACAAGACATTTTGTGACAGGTCAGCTGGCTGCTCTGTCCCACCACCAACTGCCCACTACGGGGAGCCTTAAGTTACATCACATGACTGGGCGAATCGAAAACGATTTTCACTGACACCGCCTTCAAGACCGCGATACTAGGGATCAGGGTACTGTGGATCAACGAAGAAACCTCTCTTTATGACCTTAAATACGTGGTAAAAGTGATCAAGAGGCAATGATATGACTCATACGGAGCTATCTCACCACGAAATAAAAAAACGAAAAAAGAGACACAGCTAAGACGCCATCGCGAATTTCAATAAGCTTCTCGATGTCGCGAAAGCAAGCGCAAGGCCCAGCGCGGCTGCCGATGCGTAACTGCCTACGGAGTGCAGCAAGACGGCATTGTCTTCTTGAAGAACCAGTGCAGGCACCACGAGCTTGCCCTCGAGTCATATGACAGGGCTATGTCTGTGACAAGGCACGTTCGCGAGGCTGCGGAGGATGGTCAGACAACTTCAGGAGCGTCGTCGCTCGGGCGCCAGTGAGGCGGTGTCTGGTGCTGAATCTCAGTCGTCTCCCCCGCCAGCTGCTGAGCCAGCACCAGCTGCAGGTGTCGAATTCAAGCCTGCTCCGGGACCAAGTGGTCTCAGCATTGGTGAGCTGGCCGAGGGCACGGATTATGACGCGGCTCTGTACTTGGTAGAAGGTGGCGACGACACTGATTGTTAGTTCCCCGTGGGAGACCGCTGTCCTGCAGATAGTAACATTAACGATATGACTAACACCGATCTGGTGATTGACAGCCACGGTCTTTAAACCGGGCCTCTGCTACTTTCAAAGCCTTCCAGCAAGACAGCAGAGACGGACTGGTTGCTTGAAATCAAATACCGTAGATACTTAGAAGATTGGCGCGTAAAAGACAGAGCGAGAAAGGAGACGGGTCATCAAAGTGCTGAATCAGTCTACAAGTCTAAATCTACAATCAACATATTTTGATAATGTCTTTATTTTGTGGTTAATTGAGACTCTCAATATAATAAAAAGCAGCTATTCTCAGCATACCGAACAATGCCAACCACCAGAAACATAGGTTTTTGCTGTTTGCATTATATGTGAAATCCGTCCCGGTGGCTTAGTTAGCTAGAGCGCCTGCATTCCGATCCACCCACCCGTGCGAGGATGGGTTGGAGTCGCTTTAGGGGCGCCCGCTATTTGCCCTTGACAGGTATAGCCTACGGCAGCGGTCGCGCTAAAGGTCAGTTGACGTCAGAGGGCAGGACGGACCGTGTCGAGCATTGCGGCACGTTAAGCCTTCGCCACTAAATTCTGCCGTTGCCTGGAATTGCGCGATCGGATGATGGGGTCAGAGCTCACACAACGAACACTGCTTAGCGTGAGCGCTGATCCCAGAAATCCATCCATTCAAAAGGGTTCGGGTCAACTTTACGAAAAAAGAAATCGTCTATCAGACGTTTGCGCTTGCATTGTACGATCGTTTCGGTCAGCGTAACTGACCATTTGTTTGTGAGATCAGCGAGGGTAAAATGGTGAGCTCGGAAAACTTCAAGCAATCCGCGAGATAATCTACAAATAACTTGCGCAGTTGAAAGGGTTTTTGGGGCTTTTGGGTGGGCTCGGATGATTTCAAACGATCGGTGCGGTAATTTTTGGAATGATATTTGTAGTAGGGAGGGCTTTTTAAGTTCGTACGAGAAACTGCAGTAAAATTAATGGTGGCAAAGATCATTTAAAAACAAATATGAAACCACAACATAATACACTTTGCCCTATGTACACACAGGGTGTCATCCTATTATCAACAGGTGGGGAGAACAGATCAAAAGGAAATCTGATTCCCAAGACGCGACTCGCCTTTCTCTTCTTTGGAGAGATAGGTAAGTGCTGAAATCGTCCAGCCATTGTAAACTACCCACAGGCGTCCTTGGCGCGCTTTCAGCCAAAAAAGTGTTAGTGTTACCCTAAACCCCAAGTGTTAGGCGCTAGAGGTGACTCAAGTGCTGCTTTGGTAGAGATTAGAGAGGTCAGCACTCGTCGTTAAGAGAGGCCGGCAATCACTTTTGAGAGAGGTCGGCACGCACAATGTACCCCGACAAGCAAAGCGGTTGCTGCGCGCTTAGAGGATGGGTTACGCTCCAGACTTCAGCGACTTGTAAGAGCAGAAGGCTTTAGCCTTTCCCCAAACAAGTAGTGGGCCTCATAGACACCACAAATTTTACGCAGTTAGCTTGGAGCGGTTATCAGTGATTTGCTGGGAACTTTCGGATAGCTAAGAATATATCACTTTTACACAGTGTCCTAACATCCTGCTTGCATGGGTTCTTGAAACAATTTTCTGACAATCGATGATCCATGACCTCTTCCGCGAAGACATGCCGCTGACAGTTTTTCTCGGAAGTGACAAATTAACATATTTATCCCAGAAAGTGGCAATCAAAAGAGGCTTTTAGGTCGCATTTCCTAACTTTATCACGCTAGTGTGTACTGCTATTGTTCTGGCTGTTTTTGGAAGATCAGGGCAACGAATATCAGGCCTGATCAAACTTTAACATTGTTTGAAAATATTTGGCATTCCGAAGATAATTAGGTGTTAGCTTGTTTTCACACAACTTCCAGCAGAAGGCCTCTCTGGTTTTATCCCCCCCCCCCCAACACACACATTGAGGTGATTGCTCAGTTATTAATTATAGCCGACGGGTCAGTTCAACAATTACCCTTTTGACCTCAAGTAAATGTAAGCTATATCTCTGGATGTCTACTAGGTTCGTCGGACAGAACTTTACAAAAATTATGGATATTGTTTTCTGCTTTGTGGTTAGCATGATGGTTCTTGAAATATCAAGGGGTACGTGCTAGTTATAACCTGACTTGACCTATCATACGCCACGTCCACCATTTACAATAACCAATTCTTAAATCGCGTAAATTCAATCACTGAGTCGATACGTCAACAGCATCTGTCGGATACAGTTTGGCGAGGGATTTCCCCATTCCATTTTCCCGTGACTGTAGAATGCTTAGTTTAATGTTAGTTTTCTAGATATCTGAGGGCGTCTGTGGTCCCCATCGAACGGCTAATGGGTACAAAAGCACCCGCGGGGCAATGAGTACCGAAAATGGACCAGCTGAATGCAGAGATATGACTCAGATAGCCCTTTCGGCTTAGATTTTATAATAGTATGCAAGTAGTTAATCGCATGATTACCATAATAAGGGGTGTGTGATAATTGTTACACTTCATAACGATGACAGGCAGGGTGACGGCTCAACTGCTGCAAAAACAGCATCAGAGCAAGTTTTTTCCGGGGCTCGTAACGGTGCTCGAATTGCTATAGTTACCGATACTGCAAAACGTTCAAGAAGCAGGACAAAATACCACATAAAGGTCAATATGTCACGAAAAACGCGCATAAACACTGTTTAGATACTTGTTTTATTCACGGAATGTCCCAGGGAATTTCTAAGCCTGAAGCTCCCGACATGTCTAATTGGAACCGCAAACAGTTCGAGGGTATGCTAGACATTTACGTTAAAATGTGTCTAGCGAAGAAGACACTAAGAAATACAATTAAGCAGTTCGCAAAGCAGGACGACCTTAGTCGGCGTAACACTTTATTCCGTCCATATTTTGCGGTCATTGTTATTCAAAGGCAAACATTTTCAAGTATGAAACGCTTTGATTGACAGATTGACAGATTCGCGCTGAAACGCGAATTTGTCAATACCACTGATGGAATAACGCTGTGGAGTTTAAACGTGAATCGATTACAATAATCCAACATGAAGCAAAACACAGCCAAAAATCGATTGCCACCCTCGCGCCTATAAGGAAACGTATGTCTTTCACACTTAGCAGGAACGGAACACAGTCAGGGAAGGGTGCAAGCAAAACAATGCGGCGTCCCATCGAAGGAATCCTCGGCTGCGGAGGCCATCTTCACGCCTCCGAGGTTGGTCGGCCTCCCATTGCCGAGTCGATCTCAACGCGCATTAATGCGCCGGTGTTTTGATCAGGAAGTCGATGAATCTTTTGGTGCGATTGTCCCCTGAACGGTATATGAAAGCACGTCCGTTATAATGCAAGCAACACGCCATTGGAGCGGATCAAATTGAATCCTGATAGACAATTACAGAAACACTGCGTTTTCTGCATTTTTTGATGATTGTTACTGTCAGACACAGAAACAAAGTCGGGCGTTCATGCGAACACAAGCAGTGCTAGAGAATTCGTCACCCAGCAGGTACTAGTATTGCGGGCGAGGGCCGCGCGGTGCACGTCGCCTGACCGTTCATGGAAAATTGCGAGTGAGCAGGCAACGGCCACGCAGAATCCACGTTCGTGCTCCGCGCGGTCAAGACCAAGGGCCCATACCATCGGGGCTAATCGCCAAACCGGTCATCCGAGCAAGCCATCAGACTGGAAAATAATTGTACTGGCACTGATCAGTGCAGTTTTCGCAATATCAAGCTCCCGGCCCACGCATCGTTAAGAGACACCATCATCTGGTTTCAGTCTCCTGTCCCCACTCCGTCCTCCCTGATCTGAGGGGCCCGGCCGAGCCCGTTGTCCCCCGTGTCCCCCGTCGTGCTCACCCCCCTGGCCACAGGCTTCAGGCGGCACTCGGTGAGCGGGTCGCCAGAGTACTCGGGCGGGCAGTAGCACACGCCCTTGTGCGCCTGGGCCCGGCAGAGGGCGTTGATGCGCACACGTTCCCGCCGCTGGCACTCAGGCAGGGGTTGGTGCAGATGTAGTTTGTAGCACGCCTGGTTTGCTGGGCAGTTGGAATGATCCTGGTGGAGGGAGACGTTAAAGTTGGACGCAGCGGAGATCGAGGTCAAAACGATGGCTTTGTGACACCGTCTCCGAGTTGGCTTTATACCTATCTAGCGTTACGTACTACCAGTCATTTTGTGTCTGGACCATCTATCTGTCTGACTGTCTGTGACCCTGGACTGTCTGTCTGTCTGACTGTCTGACTGTCATCTGACTGTCTGGACCAATCTATCATCGACGAACAAGTACCGGATTGTAAGAAGCTCCCTGTGAGTACACTCATAGCAACAACGATCTGAAACAAGGCAGTTGTTGCATCAGGGCTCCGCCAGAGGGCAGCGTGGTGACCGGTCACTGAGTCGAGCCCTGGGGAGAGGGGAGGGGGAGCTCTCACCTCACACTCGCCGCGCTGGCAGGCCGTCAGCGGGTCGCCCAGGTAGCCGCGCGGGCACGTGCAGACGGGTCGCGGCTTGCCGGTCTTGTCGGTGCCCGGAGCACAGTCGGCGTACGCCCCGCACGGATTCGGAGAGCACATGCTGCCTGCAGGCGCCGCAGGTCTCATGTCAAGGTCACGCCCTCCATTAGCCTGCAGCTGATTATGCAAACGCCGCACTAGGAATAGGCTCGAACTGACTGCGTTACCTTCTGCGTGAAAATGCGGATGTTTGCGTACAGCATGTCAGTAGTTCACGTGTAAGACGCGGGTTGTTGAATATACAGGGTACCGTTGCAGCGAAAGAATGGAACACAATTTCCATGCTACACTTCTGTGTGATGCTGCATGAAGCTAGGCAAGGAGATTCGTAATCCTGGTCCCTCCACTCTGCATGATTATTGGCTCAACGGTTATAACGAATAATTCAATAATGCATTGCGTACGATGCCACCTATAGCCGTGCTCTGGCCGTTTAGTGGTCCGCTTCGATTGGTGGATGTGGTGCCGACACTGACCTGAGCCTGAGTGGCCGTGGGCTAAGGCTCCAGCCGAAGACCCTGCCGCGAGCGCTGTGAACCATCGACAGACCGGCGTCAGGGTCTACCCAAGATGCAGCGTAGACATATGACCAGATAAACAGCTTTTAAAAGTTGCCTTCCAATTTTGTTTTCATGTATTAATTTCTGGAACTAGAGCTCACACTAAGCAGCGCTTGTGTGTGAGATACGACCCCTATCACCCGATCGCACAATTCCAGGACAACGTCAGAATTTGATGGTGAAAGTTTACCGTGCCGCAATGTTCAGCACGGCTCGTCCTGCCCTCTGACGTCACCGACCCTTAGCACGGCCGCTGCCACTGACCGTAGGCCATACCTGCCGAGGAAAAAACCGAGCGCCTAAAGCGATTCAAACCCACCTCGCCATGGATGAGTGAATCGAAAGGCGGGCACTCTAGGCAACCGAGCTATCGGACAGATTTATTTCTATCTGTCATCTGTCTATCCAAAGTTTTAAGAATATCTAAACGCTTCTGATGTTGCCGGAAATTTCTATCTGAGGGCAATCTCCTGCGGGAGGATGCGGCGGAATCAAAGTCACATCAGTGACGTCACAGTAGGAAAAAACTGCCCTTTGAAGGGGACTAAAAGAACACTTTGAAGGGAGTGTATTCTGGGCGCAAGTGGCCGTGCCGTCCTCTCTCCGACTGGAAAAGGCGGTGAGACAGGCGGCATCTCAAGCACAGCTGGGTTCCCACTCACCGGCCTTCTCCGCACACGGCGACGCGTACTGGGGCCCCTGCCCAGCGCTGTTGACGGCTGCGGTAGCTGAAAGCAGCGTGGCGAGAGTCATAAGCGGGCGGGATCGGCACGGCGGGCAATCAGCGCGATTGAGAAAGGTTGAGAGGCGAAGAGAGGCATCATGCTGGTGCCCAGGTGCGACACGGTGCGGCACGGGCACGGCACCCGGTGTGACAGTGGGTGCGTACTGGGCCATACCGGGCCGGGCATACCTGACCCTGAGTGTGACACCCAGGGCCTCCGGCCAAGCTGAGACAGCGGCTGCTTCTTCCGAGTGGTGAGAGCCAGCACGGTGGTGATGTCGACTCACATGCTAGTCCTTCTGCTCCAGCGAACAGCCAGAGCGACAGCGCTCACATAGAGCGTGCAAGCATCATGCTCACATAGAACGCGCCACATGCATGCTCTCATAGAACGTGCCAGCATGCATGCTCAAAGGCTCACCACTCACGTCCATGCGACGCGTGAGTTACAAGGTAAGCAGGAAGCCGAGAGAGGGCGCTCTGGCAGGCGGGGGTGGCGCCCGCGGCGCGGCACGCTATCGCAGGGCGTGCCCAGCGGACTCACACGAGCTGGGCGGCGTGCACCGTCGTACGGTGGCCGAGGAAGCCGGGCGGACACGAGCACACGGCCACGTGGTTGCGGGGCTGACAGTTGGCGCCCACGCCACACGCGCCGGCGCACGGGTCGCCGCAGCGCGCTGGATGCAGGCCTGGGAGGCGCTGCACTCAGAGTGGCTGGTGCACTCCGGGTAGCAGCCGGTCAGGCCGTCGCCGCGGTAGTACTTCGGGCACTTGCAGATGGCCCGGTGGTTGACTGCGTCGCATTGAGCGCCCGTGCCGCAAGCGCCCGGCCGCGTTACGGCACCGATTCTGCGGGAGCAGGGAGCTGACTCTTACAGTGTGTTGAAAAAAATGCCGCACCCAAAACGAGCATGGGTTTGCATCAGGGCGCGGAGGCGACGTCGAGCCCTGATCCACAAGTGGGCGTTCTCCCGGTGCCATTTCCATGCACCGCATTCTGCCTCACAATACCGAGGCTGGCATCGGGAAGCGGAAATGTAACCAAGCCATGAACCAGTGCACGATTTTCTGATAGCATGCAGCACAAGTCAAGAGAAGCACTCTGCCGTTGTGTGACCACACGTGCGCTGACACCGCACGCCGCACTGACGAAGGCTGCCGGGACGCGCACTCGGGTCTGAGACCACTCGGCCCGGCAGCCGGTGAGCGGGTCGCGATGTAGTTGGCGATACAGCTGCAGATGGCTCTGCCTCCGCGCACCTGCAGTTGGTGTTCGTGCCGCACGGCGAAGGCGGCAGGCGTCCTCGTCGGGCAGCAGGGCCAAATGTCAGCCCCCCGCGGCCCGGGCGAACGGCTCAGGCTGGGTGAGCAGCGTCGCAGTCTGGGGGCAGGTAGTCATGTAGTTGTAGGGTAGGCTTTAACCTTGTTACGATTTTTTTAGATTAGTAATCCTAGAAAGGCGTCTAAAACACGCATCGTCGAAAGGTCAGGATCTTTAAAATGCAATAACGCCAGGTTCGTGGGGTTCGTACCATTTGTACATATCTCACTCATGCGTCCCGAACACTTCGGAGTTTTTATTATATAGCGTTCATTAGCATCAGACATTTTACAATCCAAAAAAAATGTGTTGTTATCACCGCAATGCTTACAATAAATAGGCTAAAAACTGTTGGTGATAAAGAACTCCATAATAAACCAACGAATCACAGAAACAAAAACACTCAAAACACCAGTCCATGTAACAAATGGCTTGGCCTTAAGGCAAAGGAGTGCATACATTTAGACCAAGATGCGTTCATTGACCTATTACAAGACCTGGGTCGACCTGTGGACCCCACCCCTTACGGTAGCGCGTGCCCCGATCGACCACGACCCTGCTACGGTCGAGTGTCCGCCGGTGCGCGCCACCCCTCTCCTCCGGCGGTCTGGTCGGCGCCAGCTGCCGACGAGGTCGCGATCAGGCCGGCAGTGAGCCGCCACGGGCCGTCGGCCTGGTATGCACTGTCGACTTTTGTAAGGCGGTTTGGTGTACTCGGAAAGTGGGCGAATTTATTGATTTGTTGGGCTGTG